GATAATTATATAATAAACAGAATATTACATGGCCGCTTGGAGATACGAAATTTATCTTCTCGTGTTGAAAATCTCTCACTCGTTCGCTGCGCTCACTTGTGAGAGATCTTTTCAACACTCGAAGATAAATGTCGTATCTCCGCGCGCCCATGTAATATCCTCTATTTATTATTATTAGATTAGTAGTTATAACATATCATTTACCTGCGCCGCCGCAAAGAGCGGTGGATTCATCGGACCCGTCACGGCAGTTATTGTAACCATTGCATAGGTAACTCCTCGATATGCAGTTATTATTGCTGCACCTGAAGCTATTTCCATTACACCCTTAAAAAGAGTAAACTGTTAATAACCTAATACTTTATGATACGATTATGATTTTATCATTATTTAGAAAAGTGAGGTTGCCGTTGTATAAGGAACTCCTAGTTATACAGTTGTTATTATTGCACCTGAAGTATCCAGAATACAAGCCTGAACAACCTTAAAAAGAGTAGTTGAAGCGATTGATAATATATTACTTATGGTACGTTAATAATTTTATCATAGTTTACAGGATTGAGGATGGCGCAAAAATTCACAATTGTGGTTAAAAAATCTTGCTTCACTTATGTAGTCCAGCATTCGATTTCCAGTCGCCACAAGAGCTGAGTTGGTTCATTGCTTTTAGTTCGACCCCGTTGAGCTGCGCCACTGAACTGTATTATAGGCTCGAATTCCGGCCGTGGTAAATTCGTTGCGCCCACGATCCTCTTCCCACCCATGCCACTGCATGGTCAGTTGGGGAGGCTTGGCACAAACGACAACTTTACCGCTGAAACCGAGATAGTGGTCAGCGATAAACGTTTTGATAAATGATTTGTTTGTGCTTCTTTGAGCATTTTATCTAATGAAAAAGTGCAAGTTCCTGACGTAGTTTGAGCCATAGATTTCTGCAAGTTCTTTCTATCCAACGCATTTTATCATAAAAACCTCTATAAAATGTATACAAATGTCTAAGCTTATCTATGGATATCATGTTAGTATTATTTATTATCTCATTACTTACTTGTCGGGCAGTTACTTTCATCTTCTCGATTAGTACACTGGGTTATACCGTCACATCTGCCTCTACTTGATATGCACACGGAGTTACTAGCGCACATATAGAATCCCCAAGTACAAGTGTTGGTGGCTGTTGCCAACTCTGTAATAAACGTAATCAATCATCATCATCATCATCATC